TTAGTCAATATATAGTGGCCATTTTTATTTTGTCTAATTCATATGGTCCTGCTTGCGCATATTTTGAAAATTACTTATTGAACAGGCCCAGCATAGTATCTGGAACAAGTCAAGAGTTTTTGCACTCTTTTAGGGAACCAATTAATCACATTCTTTTGAAAATTAGAAATTGTTGAACCATGAATCATAGCATTAGATTTAAGTGGTGACTCATAGCTCTTGAATACTTTGAGGAGTTGAATTTTATGACCTGCATTGTTTTATTAGAAAGTTCATTCCTACTTACTGGCTTCCATTATATGAGGGTCTTGGGAGGTGTAGATTTGAATTTGATATAAATCTGAATATTTGGCATAATATGCACAAAGTGATTATCCTAAGACTTAGAACCCACAAACTCACACTCGGCATCTAGAGTTATGATCCGGTGCTTTTTTTATTTTATAAAATGAATAAGAGAAAGAAATAGATTTATCTGGATGGATATTGCAGAGTCTGCAAAGTTGAACTTTCCCATGCTTAGCAACTGTAGCTTGAGCAAAGACACTTTCTCTGAAGTGGGACTAGAACCTTGCAACTCCTTTGTGAGTAGCAAGAGGTACACATTTGTTCAAACATGATGAGAAGCTGAAACACATGAACCCCCTTGCCTTTCAAAATCAGCGGGCAGTGAATAATCCTAACTCGTGCAGGACCTTTTTGCAAGTATATGACAGCAAATCTGAATAAGATTTGCAATTCAAAATCAATAGTTTATAGCTTGAATGTGGCCTGGGAGGGACTCAACATTTTTTTTTTACAAAATATGTTAGGAGCCATTATATTTTGTTTTAAATAATATTAGGAGTTTGTGCTGGGACATCTATTGTGTAAAGAGTGAAGGAATTTGAGTTCTTTCTAGTTATCATTGCATGGGTGATGAAATTCACGAGTCTGCATATTGAGCACTTGAGTTATTTTCATTGTAGCATACATGTAATCTAAGGTCTCTACCTTAATTAGTTTGAATTATTTAAAAAAAAACTCATATGTATGTAGGAGGCCTAAGGGGATGGTTTGAGAAATGTATTACTGTGTTTAGTATCCGTTTTTTGGATTCAATTTTTTGGAAATTGAGTTTTTTTATTTTTCGTGTTTTTTGTTTTTTATTTTTAGTGAATATTTTTAAGATTTTAAGCATTTTTTTTTACTTTTTAAGATGCACCTAACTTAGATGTATCTAAAAAGTAAAATATTTATAAAAAAATACTTTAAAAAATCAATAAATACATAAGAATACGAAAAATAAAATGAATTTTTGTATATTTTTTTGTATTTAGTGAATTTCTTAAAGTTTTTTTTACAAACATTATACTTTTGTTAAGTGTATTTATGTTAGGTGTATCTAAAAAAAATTTAAAAAAATTTGCTTAAAACGTTAAAAAAATTCAGTGAAAAAAAAAATAAAAAAATTTTAATTTTCTGAAAAGTGCATTCAGAAAACTCAAACCAAACGAGCTAAATAAGGCTTGGATATTATAGGATGTTCGGGTCAAGCTAGGTTTGGACAGATACAAAGTTCCTTATTAAGTAGTGTAAAGTCAATTCAATCTCAACCTTGCCCGATCGATGCGTAGCCCTAAGGGTGATGGAGGGTTGAGTGTGGCGATGGTGACAGCGACGAAGGGGGTAGGCAGAAGGGGTTGGTGGAGGGTGGGGGAGGCGCAAAGAAGGGTGGTAGAGAATGGGGGAAGAGTGGGCTAAGAAAAGATGAGGTAAGGAAGAGAAACAGATAAGAGAGGGAAGAGGAGAGAGATAGAAATTGAGGGGCAAAAATGTCAAAATGATAATATTTTAAAATCTTGCAAAACCCAACATGTGATAACAGTGGCGGTGGGGAAAGTTCACCGGAGGTGAAGGCTAATGACCGCAGACGGCACAATTGTGTTTTAATTTGAGAATTAGGGTTTAGGTTAAAAAGATGAGGATATTTTAGTATTTTTATTTTAGGATAAAAATATAATATAAAAAAAATTCATTAAGTATGTGGATTGAGGAGATTTAGTGTGTGGAAATGTTTGTGAGCATATACCTATTGTAATTAAAAAAATAATAAAAAAAAATTCCCCCACTTTTGTAATTAATTGCCCCTATATATATCATTTTTATGTAATCTTCTTATAAGGTACTCAAAGTTGGGATTAATCTTAGTAATTTTGAGCACCTCTATTTTTATTTACGTATGATTTAAAACAGTATAAACATATGATGTTTATGCCCGACTTCTTTATTACACAAGTCAAATTTGAGCTTAAATTCAACTCTTATTTTTTTGATAAATGAACAAAATGCGCCACATACATTGACAAGATGATTGTTCGGAACAGCTAATGCAACTTGAGACAGAGAAATCAAAAAAAAAAAAAAAAAAAAAAATTGGGGGATGAAGAGAGGAAAAACAAACGTGATTGAAACCCCTACTTTTCCCCCACCTCCACATACACGTGAGGGTTGGTTATTGGAAGAAGAAAAAAAAAAAAAAAAAAAATTCGTAGCCAATCAGATCCCACTAGGGTCTAAAACATTTTTGGAGGGAAAATATCAAACTTAGAAGCATTCAAGCATTAGAAAGAAAAAAAGAAAATTCGACCATGCATATTGTGTGTTTTATATTGAAGTGTCTTACATAATGTATAGGTATATGCTCACAAACATAACGACTAAGTTCGACTGTGTTCAAGTTTAATTTATTTATTATATAAACACAAAGGTATAGTTTTAACTCGACTCATTTATGAAATGGTCAAATAAAAACAAATTTGTCACTACACAAATCAAATTATTTATAGACAACTTGTTCATTTACAACCACTATTTTTTGAGCATGGTCTTTGGGCTTTGATAGGGCCCAAGTGAAATCTAAAATGGACCTTTGGTGGTACCAAATTAAGAAGTAATTATGTGTTTCGATTATAAATTTGAATATAAATTTAAAAATTGTATGTCTTGTCTGAATTGGGCCATTAATCATTTTTGAAGAACAGTTTTTAAATTTTGGGTGGGCTGGAGCCTTAGAGCCCACTTTGCCCACTGCATAACTATTCGTCCACTGACTGGTCTAGGTTGTTGTAATCTGGGAGTGATTGATTGCTGCTTTGATGAATGCCTATATATATACATGTGTTTTAAATTGATTTTTTTAGTGATTTTTTTTTTCTGTTACTTTTTAGTAATTTTTAAATTTAGACTTTTAAGTTCTATTTGACTAGATTAACAAACAAACAAAAAACTAATAAAATAAGTAAAAATTGAAAAAAAATCCATCAAAATAAAAATTAAAAAAGCAGTTGCCTTTTTTTGGTGTTTAGTAAACTTTTTTTAAACTACACTAGACAAACGGAAAAAATAAAAAATTTTCACACAAACTTGAAAAAAAATTACTAATGATAAAAAAGTTTTTAAGAAAGTGACTTTTTTAACTGAGTAACAAACGAGACGAAAGTAAATTAAATATATATATATATATATATATCTTCAAGAATCAAGATCTTGTAAATGGTAGAGCCGAAAGAGGAAATGCTTGGTTGTGAAATTTTTAAGTGCCGGTCCAAACCTAAAGTAGTTGACTGGAATTTGGATGCCATATTTGATTAAATGGGTATATTTTAACCTCTTGGAATTTTTATATAGAATATTTGATTAGAATGATATGATAGAAACATTTGTCTTTTATTTTATAATAAGGTATGATTTGATTTTTGATTTTTTAGCAATTTTTTGTTATTTTATTTTATTTTTCTAGATATAAAAAAGTAGATGCTTTTGATAATCGTTAAAAAGAATTATTTTTTTTGTTATGAATAATGTTTTGCGGGTCCAAACTTTTGCTTTTTGGCAAAAAAATTACCATATTATTTTTATTGTGATGTAAAGTATTGGTTAACATAATTAAGAGGAAACAGTGGAATTTTCGAAGTATTGAGAATAAAATCGTTTTTATACAAATATTTAGGTGTTTTCAAAAAAGTTATTTGTTTATGAAAAAATTGCTTATTTAGCGAGACTAAAGTCTCTTTTGAAAAGTGGCTTATAAGCCAATTTATTAAATTTTTAACTTATTTGGATTATTTTACCTCTCTACCTTTTATATTTCTTTTCATAATAAGTAAAAAAACTTATTTTAATATTTTTGTACAGCTTATTTGGCAATGCAGGTATACAAGTTTCGTGATTAAAATGAATTTTTATTACTTAACAGAAATAGGTGAATGCTTTGGATTAAAAATAAATTAAAAAATTAAAATTTAAACTCACAAAATTAAAAATTAAAAATTTATTTTGTTACAAGGTTAAAATCTTAAGATTTTTTTTTATTGTAATTTCTCCAAAATTAAACATTAGGAGGGGCAATAAGAAAATTCTATAAAATTTGCACATAATTTTACAATCAATGTTTATACTTAAAATTGTATTTTAGTGGTTAGAAAACTAATTTACTATTTTATGTTACAACTTGGTTCCAACTTGCATCCTATGAGGCATATGACGTGGCGATATATATTTGCGGGGTAACAACCGTTATGCGAATAGTCGTCGTAGAGGATTCAACCCCCGTTTTCTTCAGTGCATGCAAACCTTATATTTGATCATTTTTACTTTATATTTTAATTTTTTTTCATTTTATTTTTAAAATTAAATAAAAAATTTAATAAATGACTATCACATAACATAAAAATATATAATTATATTAAGATTTAAATTTATGTTAAAAGTATATGTTATATATAATTAAATTTATATATTATGTGACTGTCAATGTATTATTTTTTATTTAATTTTGAAATAAAAATTAATTTATAAAAAAAATTAAAATATAAAATATAAAAGATAAAAGTAAAAATAAATAAATTTTAAAAGTAAAAAGTGGCCGAAAATAATGAGGTAAAAATATAATTTACAAATCCGAGAGCCCATAGAGAAGCCGCATTAAGAAACTTTCCCGTATCTATAAATACACCAGTTGTCGGCCTCTTTCTATATATATACATATTGCCCATTACGGCGGTGGTACCTCTTCTTCTTCTCTCTCTACTCCAGCGCAATCTCACCTCTTTCAACTCTCTCTCTCTCTCTCTGGTATGGCCACACAAGCAAGCCTCCTCCTTCAGAAACAACTCAGAGGTACTGATCAAGTTCTCTGTTGTTTTTCTCTCTCAAACGAAGTATTGACAGAGACTCAATACATATATGTGTGTGTGTGTGTGATTGATGGACTGGGGTTTTGATTAATCGGTTCTTTGTTTGCAGATCTTTGTAAGCACCCTGTTGATGGGTTCTCGGCAGGTTTGGTTGACGAGAGCAACATCTTTGAATGGAGTGTTACCATTATTGGACCCCCTGATACTCTTTAGTATGCAATTCTATCTTAAAGATTGTTTCTTTTATCATTTTGATTTTGTTGTTGGTGGTAATTTGATGATTTTGTTTGCTGTGAGTGGATCTATCTAGGGTTGATATTTTTTTCCCTGTTTTTTTTTTGATCGGCATTTTTTTCCCTGTTTAATTGGGGTTTTTGAATGTGTTTCAATTGATTAATTTGTTAGGCCTTTGTAGATTGCTTTTTGATTTGATATGGTTTTTGTTAGGGCTTACCCGAATTCTGTAGCTGGTATGATAATTATTTTTCTGGAGTTTTTGGGTGCTAGGGTTAGAAATTGTCCAAAAGAACTGCCACTTTTCTACTTGAATTTTGTTTGGTTGCCACTTTTGTATTTATTTGTCGTTTGATTTTGCATACCCAGTTTTTACCTGTTATGGTTGGGATCTTTGGGAGTTGTTTAGAAGTAGGCCACCTATTTGTTGGTTTATAAGTAGATTCTTTGCTTGAGTTTGTGTATCTAGTGCTGGATTTTGCTTACTTTATATGCTTGGTAGTCAATTCTTCTCTATGATTCCCTTTGATGCTTGATTCGCTGCATGATTTCATGTAGTCAAAGGAATTTGTTCTAGTTCTGTGGCATGATGGTTCATATTTGCCTCAGAACCCCTCTCCATTATTCCCTGATCATAGTCAAATTGAGTTGCCCACATTTTGGGGCCTTTTGTGGATGTGATTGTGGAGCTATGTCTGAAGTTTTTATTGATTGAAAGTCTCTTAATTGCTTTAAGAGTTAATTGTTTTCCAATTTTTTTTTAACTATTGAATGCCAGTGATGGTGGATATTTCAATGCCATCATGAGTTTTCCATCTGATTACCCAAACAGCCCACCAACAGTGAAGTTTGTTTCGGAGGTTTGGCATCCCAATGGTTAGTCGCTGTTAGCCATTATATGTTTGTTTTTTAATCACTGACGTTAGAGTGTTGCTTGAAACTGATTTTGTTCACTGTACAATACAGTTTATCCTGATGGGCGGGTTTGCATATCAATTCTTCATCCTCCTGGTGATGACCCCAATGGCTATGAGCTTGCAAGTGAACGCTGGTCACCTGTGCATACTGTATGTTCTATATTTTTGTGCTTTCTTTCTTCCATTCTAGACGGTTTGCATGTTCCCACATAGTTGTTGAGAATGGTCCTTGAACAGCCACATTTTCCCAGCTTTGGTGTTTGGGTTGCACCACGAGTGTGCTTGCCAATCCATCTCGTAGTTATTTTACATTCGATAGCTTGCATGCTAACAGTATTGGAAGAAGATAATATTATACTCTAAATCCAGTAAAAAAAAATCTGTCGATAGATGAAGCTTGTTATTTATGGAAAAAACAATTATAATGCAAACTTGGTCTTTTCTGAAAGGTGGGAATTGCTAAGATTAACATAGCAATGGGATTAGATAGAAAATAATTGTCAATGGTTGTTTGTATCAAAATCAGAATGGCCTTCGTTGGAGGACAATGCCAAACATTAACATTATCATTAGTATATTTTTTAGATAACACAACAATAGAGGGGGCCCTCACTTGCGAATCTTCTGGCATGTCACTCATAGAATATTTCAGATACCTCTTCATTTTACAATACGTAATCCCCCATTTAATATTCGAATTTTCAAGTCGATACTTCACCATTCATGGCACCTGTTTATCGTTAATTGAACAATAACCATTTCCATAATAGACTAACTCGCATTGACAATCCACTAGGAAAATAAACCACTCCTGCAAACTGTCATTACCGTCTAACCTTCGATCATAAACATTTATTCTGACCAACCCACTGGCATTGGGTCTGCAAAGAGGGGAATATTTTATCAACCTTAATACTTTTTTGTTTGTATCTTAACCTCAATTGAGAAAATAAATTGTATGTATGTAGGTTTGTATGTGTGTGTGTTTTATATAGAACCAAATGGTAAGTATGAACTAGTTTCCTCTTGTAGCAGCAAATTTAGGTCTAGGTTGTTAAGTTTGATTTCAAAGTTGTGGAAGATTTGTTCACAACCTTGGATGAATGGAATCTGCTGCTTCCTCCATGGGCTTACTTGGACCATTCAACAGACAGGTTAATGATGCTGTATTGTCCAACACACACACACAGAGGTTTTGTCTGTCCTTTTATTTTATGTCTGCATTTCAGGTTTAATTACTTTTGAAATGATGTTATGACAGGTTGAAAGTATAGTTTTGAGTATCATTTCAATGCTTTCCAGTCCAAATGATGAATCTCCAGCAAACGTGGAAGCAGCAGTAAGTGCCACTTAGTTGTCGTATAGCATCTCTTTTTGAAAGTCCTTTATCTTAGTTTGTTCAGATAACTGAATGCTTAATTTAAATTGTTCATGTTGTTTATCATTGTATGGTTACATATAGTTTGAAGTAATGTTGGGCTAATCATCATCACGATTTACTAGGTGGTAGTAATGTGGGTGCCCTGTACTGAACTGTTTTAGAAATTTCTATTTCCTCGATGCCACCAATGTCCAGACCCAGAGAGCTCTTTGTCTAGTTAGGATTTTTGCAACATAGAATAGAAAAGCATGTGCTTTGTAGTTGGTGAAATATTTTGTTACTTGTGATCAAGGTTTTAAAAAGCAGGCGCAACCGTTATGTAACGCCGTTACGTAACGGTTTTGACGGTTACCGCCACCCGTTACGGCCGCTTTTACAGTGTGATTGAGATTCACAAGTGTGTCGGCTGTAGCGGCTACCGTAGCGGTACGGTTGTTACGGCACCGTTACGTAATGGTTCCAAACTGTTTTTTTCGAAAAAACATACAAAAAAAAAACTGAAAATTGGGAAAGATGGATAGAGAGAAGAGGGAAGATAAAGAGAGAAAATTGAGGAGCAAGAGATAGAGAGAGAGATAAGAGGGAAAATGAAGAACATGTTATTGATTTGTTGAAGTTGTAAGACATATGCTATTCTATTCAACTGCTATCACTAAACCATTTTGTTTGTGTGTGTCTATCTATATATTGTTTGAGCATTTCAGGTTTAATTACTTTTGAAATGATGTTATGACAGGTTGAAAGTATAGTTTTGAGTATCATTTCAATGCTTTCCAGTCCAAATGATGAATCTCCAGCAAACGTGGAAGCAGCAGTAAGTGCCATTTAGTTGTCGTATAGCATCTCTTTTTGAAAGTCCTTTATCTTAGTTTGTTCAGATAACTGAATGCTTAATTTAAATTGTTCATATTGTTTATCATTGTATGGTTACATATAGTTTGAAGTAATGTTGGGCTAATCATCATCACGATTTACTAGGTGGTAGTAATGTGGGTACCCTGTACTGAACTGTTTCAGAAATTTCTATTTCCTCGATGCCACCAATGTCCAGACCCAGAGAGCTCTTTGTCTAGTTAGGATTTTTGCAACATAGAATAGAAAAGCATGTGCTTTGTAGTTGGTGAAATATTTTGTTACTCGTGATTAAATGCCGAGGTTGCAAGAGTTAAGAGTTTTACACAGATTTGTTGACTAGTAGTAACATCGATTATATTTGTTTTGCTTCGAAGAGATGCATCAAACTTCAAAGCTTTAATATGGTAGGTTATATACCCAAGTTATCCTAGAGGAAAGGAAAAGATAATAACAAAATTTTATATTTTTGTATTTTAGTAGTAATTTCATTGGCTAATTGGAGGATATGTTTCATGTGGAGGGAGCATTTGATATGGTTAATCAAATTGAGATCGTACTGGTTGGACTGTGAATTAGTCCTTTACTGGTTGATTAGTGGTTGCCTGTCTCTGCAATGGATGGTTTATTTCTGCAAGTTGATACTTGATATTTAAACTGTTCTGGCATGATATTGCAAGTAGAGGTATCTAGGTTGGGGAGTTACATGCTCTATCCTCAAGCTTCGTCGGAGCGAAAATTGGTTTGCGTGTAGATGATTAAACATCTTCATCATTTAGTCACTTCATACTTATCTAAGGTTCCTCACTGAATGATGTCCCCTTCCAGCTCTGATTCACCACTTCCTAGATAGTATAGGGATCGTTTTACTTCGCTACCATTCCTGGAATTCAGAAGGGCTACATACTTTCAGTATAACTCCTCAAGCCCCTTTGCTTTCTTTAGTAAAGGACTATGTTACATGGACTCTTCAAATTAAATCAAATACCAACGTCGGACACCTGACACTCGGACAAGGGTATGGGATATGTGTCGGATACTTTTCAACGGATACTTCTTATATAATTATATGTAACACTATTATTATATGTATATATTGTTATATAATTGCTATAAATGTCATTTTGACACTATAAGTTAAATATAATACCATTTTATCTCACATATTAGATTAAAAATATAAAAATATGACATTTTTTTGCCGAGTCCGCGTATCCTTAAATTTATGATTTGATGAGTCCGACCTCTAGATACATACCCTCACCCGACACCCGTACCCGAGTCCATGTAACATAGGTAAAGGATGCAGTGAACTGTAATTGTGAGAAGGTTCGAAGATCTGGCCAAAGCAGGTGATAGCCCTATAGATTCAATCCCATGGTTCGATCCTTCACAGTAAAACGTGGCATGTTCAAATTTTGATCGCTTTTACGCTGAAAGGGGGCTGCTATGCTGCTAGCTATGCCTTGCTTGGTCCCTTGGCATGGTGGAGGTTTTCCGTAGTGCATCATGAGCACTTCAAACAAAATGAGAAAAATGGTCAGTCAATAGCATAGCTCTTTCTTTCCCCGGTCTTCTTTCGAAGGAAAGGCCTTCACATTCCTAATCTGGTAGGGCTGGACGACTTTCTTTGCCCCAGCTTAGCAAATTGCATCCCCGTGCAATGAGATCTATCGTTTTTATTTAGAAAATTTTGGATTCTGAGTCCTAACCTTATACTTGATAGGTCAACTTGCCTCTCATATAGTTCAAATCCTAATACTTTGGTCGGCTTGCCTTTCAAATTTTTTCAATGGCTACACTTGAAAATCTGCACTTTTTAGTTTTTGAAATTTAGAAGTATATTTGTGCTTTTTTCAATATGTTATGAGAGTGCCGAGGGGGTTGCTAATTATGTTTCTTATAAAGGAGTTGCTTCCAATATTTTAAAGGAGTATGTCCTAGCATAAAGAATATGTCCTAAAATAAATCTTCAACATATAAAGTCCTTTTCTCTTAGGTGAAATCCATGTTTAGAAAGAGGAGCTTTAGTCAAAGGCTATCATTGGTACTTTTTCTCTTATGTGTCTACAATCTTCTTTCACTGCTAAGCAAAGTAATTTTGAGATCTAATTTCAGTGTTTTTATAAAAGTGCAAATGGAGAGAACTTCAGTCAAAGAATAGAACATTTTTGCATTTCAAAAGAGAAAAGTGTTATCTAAAATTGGGAAAAATTGTTGATTCATTTCTAAATATAATTGATACGAAAGTAATATCATAGATTAGAATGAGATGCAAGACAAGTCATGTGTGCATCTGTTCGCTCGATGGGGTAACAATAAGTTCTGATTTTGGTTATATATATTGAGGAGGCAAATGGAGAAGGACTTTAACTTCATGCTGACCATCTCCCTTTTCCTTAGCTAGGTATCAGAGTTTCAGTGTTGTCGATTAACTTGGTGCAGGCAGATGTTATGAGATTATGGCTTCATTTGGCGGAGCGTTCAAAATATAGTTCCACACTCAAAACTGAGTGTGGTGTTTGTTTAGCGTTCTTAAAAATTAATTCCACACTCATTTTTGAAAACTCTTTTCAATGTGGGAAAATTTGGACTAAGTGGTCGTTCGGAGCAGTGTTCGGTTTTTTTTTTTTTTTTTGCACCTGTTATTTTTATATTACAAAAAAAATATATTTGTGAAACTTTTAAAAAAATTTATGAGTTTTGAATAAAATTTTGGGTTGAGTGTTTAGTTATGAGTTGTAAGTTTTTTTATCAAATATCATATGTCGCATCACTCAATTCAAATTCAAGTTAAAACTCTTTTTAAAACTCATAACCAAACAAATTTTTCACACTCAATTCATAATTCCAAGACTCACAAACTCAAAATACAACTCTATTGTCAAATCATAATTCTAAAAGTCAACCAAACACTACCAAAAATTAATTCCACACTCACTTTTGAGTGGTGTTTGTTTAGCATTTTCAAAAATTAATTCCACACTCACTTTTGAAAACTCTTTCCAAGGTAAAAAAAATTGGCCTAATTAGTCGTCCGACCGGTTGACCGGAACAGTGTTTGGTTTTTTTTTTTTTTTTTTGCACATGTTATTTTTATATTATAAAAAAATATATATTTGTGAATTTTTTTAAAAATTTTTTATGAGCTTTGAATAGAATTTTGGATTGTGTGTTTGGCTATAAGTTGTAATTTTTTTTTTATCAAATATCATATGTCACATCACTCAATTTAAAACTCTTTTCAAAACTCATAACCAAACAAATTTTCCATACTAAAATCATAATTTCAAAACTTACAAACTCAAAATACAACTCTATTTTCAAATCATAATTCTAAAACTCTACCAAACACTACATAGGTTTTTCTTAAGTACTTCTATGCTTCACTCCTCAGTAGATTTTAGGTTGACACTAGCAAATTTAGCCATGTTATCTGTATGTCCATTGAGTTGGGTTGTCAATCCATTGTTTTTTCAGGGAGGTATACGGTTCACCATTGCTTTCTCTTGTTATGTTTTAATTTTTTTTTTCTTTTTTCTTTTTTCTTTTTTAATGTGATTTCTTTTTTCAATATTATTAGTTTGATTATGTTTTGTTTCCATGCTTGGATTATGGCCACTTGTTTGAGTAAATGTTATCAATTGGTTTTTCTAATCTATTTATGGAGATGTGTGTATTTTGTTGCCTAATATTGCCAATTTGGGATTATATTGCCACTCGTTTAAATGCTTGAGGTTCTATATGTTCTCACTGTTATATCAAAGTTAAGTCATTCTGATTTTACATAACCCAGCACAAACATGTCTTTTTACACTGATGAATGATGAACATAAATTTAAAAACAAAAAAGTGTGAAAAGATTTTATTTTTGTTGTTGTTCTGAACTATTTTGGTTTGCTTTATGTAATTGCAGAAAGAATGGCGAGAGATGAAGGATGAATTCAAGAAAAAAGTTGGCCGCTGTGTGAGAAGATCACAAGAAATGTTATGATCAGCTGCCATCTTCTCGTGTGTACCAGATTGTAATTTTTGTGAGGAAGGACAAGTTCAATATATTGGTTGTTGATTCGTAGCAAAACTCTGGTTGAAGTTCTCAGACCCGTTTGTTCTTTTCCTTATATATTTATCTTCAGGTTATCCTCATAAACACATTTCTGTATTCAAGTGGTTTGGTTAGGGTTTGAGGGGTTGGTACTCTTTGCACTGGACTCATATATGCCTAGGTAGTTCTTGCTTGATTAATTTTTTTTTTTCATTTTCTGTTTTTTGTACTTTATTTATTTATTAATTTTTTTTTTGTTTATTGGAACAATTTTTTTGGATTTAGTTTGGAATTCTGTTTGAAGTGTAGATTTTACATTTGGGTTGGGTCTGTTTTTTGGGATTGAGTTTTCTTCCTTGTACAAGAAGATTAAATTATATGAGAATTCTAGTTAGTGCAGTTAACAAAATTCTGCAATGATAAAGTTCTGTTTGGAAGTTTTCTCAATTTGGTTGAGTTTACTTGCTTTGCATGCTCTCTAGATTTTTATCATTCTTAATCTTACATTAGCATTATTTGGTGTAATTTATTTGAGTTATTTATAGCTCATTTTATTATGAGAATTCGTATGTAATTTTTGTTTATAATTTATTAGGTAAAATAGTTGAAAAAAAATTGATTATTCAAAAATTGAGAAGGGGATGTTTTTGACTTTTATTTCTTGATTATTAATTTTGAAATTGTAATAAACTGGACCAAAACAAACATTGACTAGTTGGTCATGACTCATGATCCAAGATTTTTCTTTTTTGCCATGCTGAAAAATTGTCAATCCTGAATCACTTTAAAATGTTAACAATAATGATAGTCTTAATTTCATGAGAAGGTGATGTGATATATATAGTGATATTTTTATTTAAAATGAGAAAAATAATTTTATATGTAAATTTTAAAATAATATGCTAATGATATTTTTAAATAAAAAAAAATATAACACAATAATTTTTTTATACAAACTGGTATTTTTTAAATTTAAGCTCACAGTGGTTAGTATTTTTATTTGAAATAAAGGAATCATAAAAAATTACATTGCAAAAAAAATATTTTCTTTGAATGATATAATTATTTTTTAAGTTATTAATTGTAATAATAATATTTTGATTTGAAATGACATTGAACTAATGACATGCTCTAATTTTGTATACGCACGCATTTGTTCCCCATCGTAAAGTTAACCCGCCGGCGAGTTGGAGCTCCATTTTGAGGCCCGCCCGACGCCGACCCGTAAAAATTCACCTGCCACGCGGGCTTCTGCACTCTCTCTCTCTCTCTCTCTCTCTCTCTCTCTCTAATCAGATGCAAAATTCCCAGCCAATTATCACCGAAATGCAACACTGAAAAGCTCTGCGACTGCTTGGGACCGACCTTGATGAATTTCGATCCCTCTGAATCTCTGATGGCCTGATGATATTATTAACTAATTCTCGAGGTAAATATTTAATATTCGATTCAAACTCAAAATTCTCCGATCAAATTCACCCCCTCTTCTCTAATCAAGTAATTTTTTATTTTATTTTATTATTAGTATGGCTTCTTTTTCTGTGATAACTTCAGATTTTTGGTTTTTGCGTGTTGGTGTGATATTCAATGAAGTGATTGATTAATTTCATCTGAAGTTTGTTCTATCAGAGAAATTTGACAAGAGGTGAATTCTATGGCTGTGTTTGACTTTGGCTGCATGGAATCTGTTGTTGTGAGTTGTCTTGCATTTTTACTTTTTACAGACGCAGAGGCCCGGAAGTTTGGAGGTTTTCATTGTTTTTTTTGGCTAGGGTTTCTGATGCAGGACGAATAGGGACAGCTACAGAAGAGCTGTTCTGGGGCTGTGAAGGTGCTGAAATTTAAGGGAAAAAAAGAAAAGAGAAGAAGATAGATTTAAGGGTAGTTTGGGTTGTTCTAAACAAGTGCATTTTTTGACTTTTTATGAAATATGGGTTGGGTTTGAATTGATGTGGTAGAGAAGTGATGTGAATTAAATAAGATAACGTGACTTAAATAGGATAGTGACTTTTTGACTTTTTGTCTTTTTTAATACATGACAAACAAGGCCTTAGGAATCACTCCTAGAATTTCTTAAGCATCATTGATTGCATCATACAATCTGTAAAGAAGCTTTAAAGTTCTCAACTTTTTATAAAATATCAACTATATTGAATTGTAGACATTACATGACTTTATATAAAATTATGGAGAAATTTTATTTCCACACATATAGTTAGCTCATGGCACACATTTAATAAAATATTAATTTAATGACAATTATATTTTAAATAAAAATGATTATAATAGACATTCCATAACATCTATAATATTATATGAAACAATTCTCTGTACACATCTTTTTAAGAATAAAAAAAATTCAATATACACCTTTTGAGTTAGGAAAAAAGAAAAGAAAAGAAAGTAAACCGTAGTTTTTCCATTGTTGTCACATTGTTGAGAGAGATTACTTTTTTTTTTGATTCAATTGAAATTAACTAAGAAGATTGAAGAACAGGGTTAAGGATTGTTAACCAGCGAAGCAAAACCTCAAAAAAAAAAAAAAAATAGTGAACGTGCTCTGCTATTTGGTTTATGATTGATTATTTTTGGTTTGTCTTCTTATCAACATAAAATGCTCTTTGGTTTATGATTGAAAAACTGGGTTGAGGAACTAAAATTAGCTAAGAAGATTGAAGAATTGAGGATTTTTTTTTTTTTTTTTGGTTCTCTGAGAGACGCTTCACTCAGCTTCTTCAAACATATTTTCTTTTGACTTATAATAGCCCGTCATGCACGATCTCTTTTCTCTCAAATTACATGTTTTCGCTCTGATAATCCAATTCCATTGTTTTTGCGATAATTCTTTGCTGATACAACTTTATGTTCACAATCAACATAAATTTTGTGGTAACTTTGTACTGTAAAATCAACTTCAAATTTTGTTCACAATCAACTTCAGTACAAAGTCTGCAGGAAAAGCTGAGTGAAGGGTCTACAAATTTTGCACAGTACAGGAGTGCAAAGTCTGCAAGAAGTAAAATTAACTAAGAAGATTTAAGCGTCTCTCTTTGCACTGCACCGTGGGTCTATAAATTTCCAAACCGTAACAGTAGTAGTGCTTGTGAAAGGAGGGACTAGTGTGTGGAATGAGGGTTGAAGGGGTGTGTATAATGATATGAGTGAAGGGTATATTCGATACATTTAATGTTTGGATTGAGAAAACTAATTAATAATTAAATTATAAAGTGTGTACTGAGAAATAGTGTGGATTGAGATAATTAAGTGTGTGGAAATAGAATTTTCCAAAATTATGAGACTTCCTAAATCAACTATAACCAAAAAAAAAATACTATTAAAATATCTTTAATTTCTAAAACTAATTTAAGACGAAATAACCTCACAAAATGATTCATGGGCAACCTATACATGTCAGTAAATATAAAATTATCAAAATATCCCTCACCTAAAAATCCTAGAAAATATAAAAATAATTATAAAATAGAACTATAATAATATTAGAAATATGATTATGTATGGTTCCTATTGATTTCTCTTTAAAACCATTCCAATTTTCAAATATTGCCGCTTTTTTTGAATTTACTTTTCCTCGAGCTTCTTATATTCTGCATCATTCTATCTTGGTTGGAAAAAACTCAACCTTGAGTTTTGAAGTGTTGAAGTATAAGCATCCACAAGCTTTGAAGTTGTATCCGCGACTTCATTTTAAAATCTTTAAGTTGTCGCCGTCTTTTATTTGTTGGAGATAGGAACAAAAATTTTGAGAAATTGATCTTGTCTTTCATGTTACTAAATATGTCAGGAATGACAACATCAATAGAAGGAATTGAAACATTCTTTAATTGATCCAAATCTTAGGCTGCAAAATTCATTCCATGCATTCTGTTCTTGTTTGGCTTTGCTGGAGAGAATTTAGGCAGCAAATTGGTGACTTGTAAGGCCTTATTAGAGTTAGTATCAGCAACTTGTTGCTGTAATTCTTCAATTCCTACATCTTGTGTGGCCTTCGAATCTTTTATTTGGACAATATCTATAGGCTCTAGAGGTTGTGGCTCTGAAATAGACTCAGCCAGTAACTTATTAACATCTGAAGACAAATCTGGTTCTAGACCAGCAACTTGTTCTTGAGATTCTTGAACAACAATTTTTATAGGGGGATTGTTGGATTTCTTTTGAATCATCAATAACTGCTTTTTCATTTTTCGAAATTTGGTCATCTTTCCCCATGGAAAAAGTTTGCTTGTCATCTACAAAATCTATCTTGGAACACACAGAATTTGGGTTGATGAATTTTTTCAAAGTTGGTGCCTCTTGGGGTGTTTTTGATTCATCAATCAGATTATTTTTTCCCTTATAATCTGACTGTTTACGACCTTCTGTTGAGCTGCTCATTTTTCTAAAGAATTAAGCCGAACTTTAAAACCATCTAACTGCTCCACAATTTAAAAAAAAAAATTGATCTCTTTGGTTTTCAGAAAACATTCCCCTTTCGAGAGATCTTCTAGGATGTGTAGACATGTTTCGGAAATTCCACAAAACAATAGGATCTTTTGCTCTGATACCAAATTGATGCAGGACGAATAGGGACAACGACGTAAAGGTTGTTCTAGGGATGTGAAGGTGCTGAAATTTAAGGGGGGGAAAAAAAGAAAAGAGAAGAAGATAAATCTAGGAATCACTCCTAGAATTCCGTAGGCATCACACTAAGGGTTTGATTGCATTACCCAACCCATAAAGAAGCTTTAAAGCTCTCAACTTTTTATAAAATATCAATTTTATTGAATTATAGGCATTACATGGCTTTATATAGAATTAGGAGACTTCCTAAATCAATTATAACCCAAAAAAAAAACTACGAAAATATCTTTAATTTCTAAAACTAATTTAAAGACCAAGTAAGAAACAAAAACAAAGACTAATTAAATAACTTGACCCACAAAACAACCCATGGGCAACCCTTACAACCCGTGCCAGTAAATATAAAATTATCAAAATACCCCTCGCCTAAAAATCCTGGAAAATATAAAAATAATCATAAAATAAAACTATAATACTATTAGAAACATGATTATGTATGGCTCCTATCGATTTCTTTTTGAAACCATTCCAATTTCCAAAGATCGCCATTTTTTTGAATTTACTCTTCCTCAAGCTTCTTATATTCTGCATCCATTTCAGCATGAGACTATGACAGTGTTGTAGAGTGGTTGAGTTGAGAGGTTCAGAACTTTGTAATCCTTATTGCGCATAGTGGGTTTGATTTCCTCATCTCCATGCCCGTAGGCACATTGCCCAACCATGTATATCTTATATTATGCGTGTTTGCTTCATTTCTCTTTACTGTTTTGTGACTGGATGCCCTTCGATTTCTGCATAATCCTTGCCTTAGATTTGGAATTTGAGACATTTTGAAGTTATAAAAAGGAGGTCTTCAATTCCAATTCCATTCCCAAGGTGTGCCCAATATAGAATGCAATTCATTCATGATTTGTGAATTCTTTGCAAAGTTTGTATATATCAGACTTTGCTTTCAAGGAGTTAGGTATAGAAGATCTCTGAGCTTGAAAATCATTCATGATTTATCTATCGTCTGATACAGTATATTTTGACAAGTGCAATTCATGAATCTCTAGGAAGATATTACTAAGGTTGCATGCCATCAATCATGTAAAAGATTGTATCACCAAGCTTGTTGAGATTAGATATTGAGCTTATTTTAGTCTATACTTTTTCCCATCTGTTTCTTAGTGCATAACAAGCAAGGAGATCCCTGTCCTTGGTCATAGTTTCTTTAAGTCATATCTCAACACATCTCTTTTTTAACCATCATAGATTGAGTTTATCATATCTTGTCCACTGTTGGTTGTTTGCCTCAAAGTATTTGTTTCTTATTAATGTCTCATTCATCTCAACATTCTCATCTTGCCAATGCTCTTTATCTTCTTCGTTTCTTTTCCATCTTGAATTAGCTATCCATGTAGTATCTTACAAACTCTAGTTTAGTAAGAACCTGCCGATCAAAATGTGCTTATCAAAAAAATAAAAATAAAAATGTAGCTCCTGATTATATTGTACTCCAATAGCACATCTCCACTTCATAGTTCTTTAAATTATCTATATTTTCTAGTGCGTTTAAGCAGTCTGAAATAATTAAAGTGATTGCTTTTTTGGGTATTTCTATGCCACTTTACTTTGTACATCATTTACTTATAACTGTCATTTCATACTTGGAACATTGTTCTTTCTTTCTTCAAAACTTATAGATTTCTAAGTATATTTTTAGTTCTAAGTTAGAAACACAAACACTATGCTGGATTCATGAACTAGAACTATTTCATCAACAAACAACATGCACCTTGTGACCTTTGTCCTACAATATGTCTGGTAAATTCATTTATGAGCAATACATAATGGTTAAGGTTCATACTAACCCTTGATATAAGTTTGTTTAATGGAAATTCATCGTTCTTTCTATTTTATGTAAAATTGCACTGTTACCATTTGATTTAAAATTCTTTTTTTGACTTACACTTTGCATGATTGCATCCTCTTTGATTTTAAGCTGGGAATTGGAAATAAAGATTACCGTTGATATCTTTTTCTATAACGGATGAATGTAATTACTGTTGTTGTTCTCATAACATGAACTCGAACCATTTTGGCATAAAATGTTGTCCTTGTATGATCTTTAATATGACAATTGATAAAGGATTAGGGGATATTACTCAGTTTTGACTCGTGTGTATTTGTAATCAATATTTTCCTTTTCAAAATATAAAGATTGCACAAAAGGATGACAAAATATATTTTGGAACATGAAACCATCACTGGCAGTTGTTAAAGATTATATTTGGTGTGCAAAATCATGCTCACCTTCATTTGCTCAAACAAATGCTCATCTTATCTATGCTACTCACAGGCTCTTATTCAAAATGGCTCCATTGATTGAGATCAGACTGTCGCTCTCCCAACATTTAGCCTATGCCCTTGTGAGAGATCCATTAATCTAGCAGTAAAAGTAATCACAGAGGGTGGGCCTTTTCTTTTTTATTTATATTTTTTTCTTCCTTAAATTGTATTGTAGTTTATTCATTGAATTAGATTAACTTCTATCACTTGTCTTCAATGGGGGACTCATTTGACAATCTTGGTTCAAGAAAAAACTCTGAGTTGACTAGTGTCATCAACAATAATAAAGTGTCTAAAAGCTGTTTAGTTGCCTCTAGCCCCAAGTCTTTCTCACAGAAAGCTACACAGCATGTAGTTTCATTCAATCCTATCAGGATGGGAAGGGGTACTGCTGGTGATGCGGCATTGTTTTTACTCAAGGTTGCTGCACTTGAGACAGTACGGAGGTTCTCAAGGGCAAAATGTCCATTTTTATGGCATGGAATTCAGGTGTTGCAAGTTCTTTGCTATCCACCATTGAAGTGGATCCAAAGATGGGCTCCTTTCAAGGGTTTAGTAAACAACATGCAGGTTGGTTCATGCGTGGTTGAAATCATTTTATGTTGGATTTACATTTAACAATGGCTGTACACATACATTAATGTTATCTCATTCATCTTCATGCAAGCTTCTCAAGATGCATTATGTCCTATAAATTAGCTAAAGTAATTAAGTGGTACAACTGTTGTCAGAAGCATGCTGATCTTGTTTAGATTCTCATTCTCATAGGCTTGTGTTTTTTTTGTGTGTGATGCTACCAAATGAATGACACAAATTGTGTCATAAATATGGTTTGATTCATTCCATACCATTGTTTATTTTATTGGTGGTGCTACATGCACCAATTAGTATACTAACTAGTGTACCAATTAGTGTTATGACATTATTACTGATCGCATTTATTATACACATTACAAATACCCAAAACCTTTAAAATGACTATTAGTACACTAGTTAGTATACTGATTAGTACATATAGCATTATTCTTATTTTATGGGTAAATTACATTGACCTTCCATGAGTTTTGGAAAAAATATAGCAAGCCTCACATTTTTTACATAATTACACTGACATCTCTTTTAATAAGGTTAAAGGGACCAAAACCAATGCAGATGAATACACAAAGATAAATAAGGTAAAATATACATTTTAGTGTAAAAGAGATACTCTCTCTGTCCCAAAATAGTAGTCCCTTTTGGGGAATTTAACTTTTTTTTTATAGTACAATTATTATATTTTAAAAATATTAATTTTTCAAAATTACCCTTTGATAGTACATTTTTTTGGAAATGTCAATTGTCATAATTGTACTTTTTGTGTTATTAATGAATTTAAAAGAATGGCAAAATAGTAAATTTATATTATTTTATTCATTAATTTTTTAAACGGGATTAATATTCTGGGACAATGAAAAATAGAATAAGGGGCTAATATTTTGGGACGGAGGGAGTATCATTTTTACATCCATATGTCTTAGTGTTATGTAGATTAAAATTTTAAGGGAGTCCAATGTAATTCTGCCAAACTTGCGGGGCTTATTGTATTTTCTCCAAATCTCACGGAGGTTGGGTGTAATTTGCCCTTAGTTTATTTATTAATCTCATTTTCTATTTTCCAAAGCAAATTAATTTAGGGGGGCCAACGAATAATCACAACTTCTAATTTTTATTTTTATTTTGCAATCAATAACAATAGGATAATAAAAAAAATTTAAGCTAATAATAAACATAAAAACTTAAAAATTGATTAACAAATTTTCTAATGTATATACATTACATTGTCCCCAACAAGTTTTCATCCTTTGGTCTAGAGCTTATGCCTTTACCAAATGAAGCTCTACCTGAACAACAACAACAACAACAACAAAAGGTATAATGCTCTTGTTAGGAAAGTATAATCTATTTACTGATTGTTTGTCACCACAAACCATATAAAGCTTACCCAAACACCTAATTGAATGCAGCAAAAAAAAAAAAAAAAATTGGTGTTTGTACCTACAAAAGGAAATTACTCATGTAAGCTATGTGATTGAATTTGATCTGAATTGAATTTCCAAGTTTCTTTTCTTACTTTAATAGTGATATTTTGAGGCATATGTGCCCCAAAAATCATATCTGATTGAAATTGTAGCCAATGAATTGATTCAAATCACAAATTTAGATGCACAATTTGTGATTTTAGATGCACAATTTGTGATTTGAATCAATCCATTGTCAAGCCTAATTTCATTACTAATTCTTTTCTTTTCTTTTCTTTTTGTTTTGTTTTGTTTTGTTTTTGTTTTGGTAAATCTTATTTTTCATTGCTTAAAACATTAGAGAGTTTGGTAATAGAGCACCCAAGCTATTTGGTGTAGAGTGGAATGCATTAACTTCACCTGCAAATCTGGTTTCATATCATATCTAATCTTGATATACTTTTCCTTCTTGGTCAATACGATTATAAGAAAGTACTCTATTTTTTCATAAAATACATATGAGTTGATTAATTAGTTCACACTCAAAGTTGTAGATTAGCTAACTGCACATTCTTTATGCTTCTCTTATTTCTTACATAGTAAGGTAGATTAAAAGAAAATCTTGAAATGATAACTAGCCCCTTTATTTCAAGCACAAATCTCTTTCTGCGAGATGATCTTAACTGATTAAGTGTGGCTCTTCCTTGCCAAATGCCTACACCATTTACCCCCCAACCAAAGAACAATTCACAATATTCATGCCATAGTAGTTAAGCTTTAAAATCCAAGCCCTATCATCCCTGACAAATTGATTTAAATAATGATTATATATGGTTCTTGGGTAGAACTCAACCCCAAAAGTTAGCTATTGAGGTGAGAGTGTCCTCACGCATATATGCGTAACATTACCTTAGTACGCCAACAATGTAGGACTTTGCTGCTGTTAATGTACACCTAAACCTACTCCGCTAAACCTAACCCACTACACCACTCCACCTCCACTTCACCTACTCCACTACACACTCCACTTCACTTACTCCACCACTCCACCTCCACTTCACATCTCCATCTCCTATATAATGTACATACAATCAATATCTATACAATTCTCTATTTCTCTTTACATTATATTTCTACATGGTATCAGAGCAAGTTTAGAACTTAGTATTTTCGCTTCACCGGCGGGCGGCAACCTCACCTTAGCCGCCCGCCGGACCTCAACCTATTCCGCTGTCATCTCTATCAATACATATAGCTTCCAGTTCGCCGCCACCAGAGGCGACTTCTCTACATACAAAGATCAACCACTCTCATCTCTTTCTAGCTGGGTCTCTCTTCTCTTGCTTCAAGGGCATCTACTTCCTCATTCGACAGAATATCAACAATAGGTTCATAGACATCCCATTCCCTTCTCTTCCGAATGGCACTGGATTTGTTACCAAATAACTTCATCAAGTCTACTGCAGTTCCACCTGCCTTACTGGCTGGGAATTGTTCAGCCCCTCTGCGACCCATTCTTGTTTATTCTAGTTTCCCTTGTTGAAGCTACACTTTGGATTGCAATCTCATATAGTTGTTCCCTAATTGCAACAGCAATTGCAGGTCCGACTTCAGGGTCTTCAATACCCAAATCTCTGCAGAAGGTTCTTGCAAATTCTTCTGGATCACTCTCAAAGTTGTTCAAGTCCCACAAAAACTGGTCCTTTATTAGCATATGATTCACTCGAAGATCAAGCTTGATGGGGACAATCTTCTCCCCATTGTACATATCTTGCCCTTCAAAAGATCGAAATTCTGTCAGCTGTGATTGAATGGATTAAGCAATCTGTGTAACAAATGCTGGAGGAAGCTTTAAGTCTTTAACTGTCCTCCTTGCAAATACTACCACCTCTGAATCTGGATCAGAAGGGTTCCAGGTAAACGCATCTCTGAACATCTGACCATCGATCTCGATGTCCAGACGAATTGGAACTAAATTATCGGCAGTTGGAATCCTGAACTTAACGGGATTCTTCGACGCAGCGGATGCTGCTGTGTGGTGTTTCATTGCTTCTTTTTTTGGCAGCCACACTGTGAGTTACACCCGCACAGCTTTTGCCTTGCACCCATCACAGCACCCCATGTTTTTGTGAAAAATTGCTCCACTATTCTGTGATTCTCTCTCTGAGATGAAGAGACCAGTCTCTCTCTCTCAAACAACAAAGACCAATCTTTCTGATTTTTGGTGAAACCAACCCATCATTCCACCATCTCCCTCTTTTTTTCTAAATTATATTTTTGTACCACCGCCCACTCCATGATACCCATTTTTTATTATTATTATTATTATTATTATTCTTATTAAAAAAAAAAAAAGAAAAGAAAAACACCATTGCAAACAATTTACAAATTTGCACAACCAACCATATTTTATTCATCTCCGAGAACAACCCCGATCACACTTTTACACACACACACACACACACACACACACACACACAAAAAAAAAAAAAAAAAAAAAAAAAAAAAAAACACCCACACCCACAGTGGGATTTTTCTTCTCTACTCTGCTGCAGGCCTCTTCTTCTTGCCTCCGTCCTGGACGGCCCTTGCCGGTGTTGCCTCCGTGTTTCCTTGTCCACCGAGCACGTTCACTCCCCCATACTCCTCCACTGCAGCATATGGAGGACCTCCAAATCGGAACATCACGGTAGCCTTCCGC